CTTTTAATAAAACAATAAACAATAAATGTGTACCATATTCTTCTTCATGGAAAAATAAGACATCCCCTGAAAATAAGACCTAGCGCATCTTTGGTCTTTGGGAGCAAAAATTAATATAAGACACTGTCTTATTTTCGGGGAAACAGGGTAGTTCCTAAATGGTTCCTCCCAGGCCCCGCTCACTATCATGATCCAAATTCTACCTTACAAATCTGGCTAGACCAGAGGATGTACACTGGTACAAAGAGGGACGAAACACATGGAATCCAGGACAGATGATCCCTTCAGTACCAGCGCTGAGAGTGGTGATACCAGAAGGGTGGAGGGAGGGTGGGGTGGAAAGGGGGAACCAGTTACAAGGATCTACCTATAATCTCTTCCCTGGGGGACTGACAACAGAAAGTGGGTGAAGGCAGATCTCGGGTAGTGTAAGATAGAACAAAATAATAATAATTTATAAATTATCAAGGGTCCATGAGTGAGGGGGGAGCAGGGAGGGAGGTAGAAAAAAATGAGGAGTTGATACCAAGGACTCAAGCAGAAAGCAGATGTTTTGAGAATGATGAGGGCAACAAATGTACAAATGTGTTTGACACAATGGATCATGGTAAGAGTTGTATGAGCCCCCAATAAAATTATTTAAAACAAAACAACTAAAGCAATATAAAAACCCCACAACAAATAAATCTATATATGTAAACAAAAAAATAAGAAAGAAAGAAAACAGAATATGAAGATGGGAGACTTTCAATATGAGACCTGGCTTGCCTAAGTCTGTTGAAACCATGGAAATGACCATTTTAATGAAGGCCACATCCACCAATGCTAGAGATTCCTAGGAAGTTTGGTGCTATAAGATGTAAAATACATATGTTTGATAGACATACTCATATTTTTCCTAACATACTTTAGTGATGTTTGTAATTTCCTAGAGTAAATAAGGAGGCCTGGTGGCACTGTAGTTAAGCACTGGGCTGCTAGTGAAAAGGGAACCAGTTCTAATCCCCTAGCTGCTCCGTGGAAGAGGGGTGTGACTGCCTTCTTCTGTCAGGATGACGGTATTGGAAATGCCGTGAGGCGCTGCCGCTTTGACCTCCGGGGCTGTGATCGTTCACAAGCAACCAGGATTCCTCAGGCTTGAAAATGTCTGGAAGAAGAATCATTTCTGAGCGTTCTTTTACCAGACAGTGCTTAGTACAGCGCTCTGTGCAGAAGACACCTGCAATTATTGAGTGGCTGGAATACGCATGTGGGTTCCTAAACGGGTTGGGAATCTTAATGATAAAATTAAGGCAAAAGGTACTAGACTTTACAAGTTATTTAATACACATGGTTTCCAGGGTGAAACCCCAAGATTCCAAGAGAAAAGCAGTTCTTATAAACCTTTCATTTAAATGGTTAAAAAGTCTTTCGCAAGCCACTCTGCCACTCACCATTCAAGCTCTCTGCAGCTTGTTTGAGCATGGAGCTGGGAATTTAAAACTGAATTTTTAAGGGGTTGGTAGGGATGGGGGTGGGGTGGGGGCGGATATTACTGGAGGGACATTTCCAAGTGAGTTCCAGAGAACATCCAAATCGAATTACACTCCGATGAAATGCGAAGTGCTCA